GGGGCGCATGAAGACTGTGGTGACACGCGCGAAAATTATACTAAAGGCAATTGAGGCTCACGCAAAGTCGGTATCATGCTTTCTACCCTTCAGGGCGCATGAAAATAAGCTCGTGCGTGGCGGCTGCGAGTTCGTCCCGCCCCCAGCTCACGGCGACAACACACACGTGTGTATGTGTGTCACGCATACTCCATAATCAAGTGTACTTTACACAGTCAGATGACACAAGCGCGGGAAATTGCTGCAAAATGCGCGACGAGGAGTCCTTTGCAATCAAGCCAAGACACCCGAGGACCCCATTTTCGCGCCCCTTAGTAACTGCCAAAACCACAACTTTCAAGGCGAGGAAGTGAACACAGGGTGGGCTGTACTCCACTTTTTTCGCTCGGCAAACGCGCTACTTTCAACGTTTTTCTTCTTCTTCTTCTTCTTCTCGGTAGGGGGTTGTTGGCAGATATGAATAATTGTGAAAAACTAGGCGGCCAAAGGGCAAGACTCGAGCACGGCCAGCGCTCTAATCATCTAAAGCTGTGAGGCCGCAAACAGGAGCTGTGAGTTTAAACACATTGGTGCCAAGTGGCCCGTCCCGCCTACGTCAAAGTAGGGAATTCTGACACAGGAGCCGACTGTCCAGGCAGGAATCAGGCTAGGATCAGCCAGATGACTACCAGACTCACTCGATCTGCCGAAACACCTATCAAATAAGTGGTTGATTGATCGTTAACAAACAACGGCTAAAGGCGATTTCTGAGTTATCTGATTTACTCCTATTTACAAGCAGTGCAACATGGGGCTTAAGAGCTTTGTTATCCGAAATCTGAGCCTTTAAACGAATTAATTTGCCTTTTAAAAGGCGAAAAAAGCAACTAGCGGCATCAAAGTCATATTCTGGGTCACGCACCAAACTTCAGGGCCAATCAGTTATGTCGGTAAATTTAAAAAGGCTCGGTGTATCACACAGTGCCGACAGAAGCGTAAATGCAAACTCCCACCATACCCTGGCCAAATCAGCATACCTACGTGGTGGTGCATGCATGAAGTAAACGAAAACATGCCGGTGAGGCCAACGGCCGACCTTAGGCTGCAGCCGAGAACAAGTCGCCAAATGAGCCTGCCTTTAGTCGCCGAACGTGGGTCGTACTGATTAGCGATGCTGTCAACACCGAGATCGCCGAGGTCAGTTCAGGCGCATATCGACAACAATGCGTGCAGTCGTGACTTCCTAAAGCACGAGCACAATCACTGTAATCTGAGAATGCCGTGGCGGAGACGGGCCAGACCAGACTAGCCCCCTTCCCCGTAGTCGTCAGCTGACATTGAGAAGGAGCGAATGGGACAAAAAGCGTACGCAATCTCCAGCGGCATCGTTGACTAACATATGGAGTCACCGCAGTGTTGTCAGCTTCTCGGAGCATAACAGTCCGACTGTCGTGACTACCACGTGCTACACAGCAAACTGAGAGCAGGCACTGCGACTTGTGCTGACAGTAGATTTGCACAGCATTTACCGCACTCTTTCCTCCTCCGCTACGTGGGCCCGGTGTCAAGAAGACCGAGGGCCGGAGAAGCCGCAGGTGGCTGGCACGGTGAAAACCCGTGCCCGGGCGTACCCCCACGGCCCCGTGTCTACAACAAACATTCTATCGGGATTTTAACCAACAACAAACATGGGGAGAGGGCAGGGATTCTAGTGTGCGCGACGTGGGCCGGAAACTGGGCCTGCCAATGCAGCCTGAATGCTGGTATTTGTTATAGGTGAGCATTTCCGATAACGCCTGCCGGAATCTGATATGGCCCCGGTGTTGGTGCAGCGCACTTAACGCGTGGCCCTCTTTGGGGGGGGGGGCGGCACATATTGACACGGTGGCGGACATTTAACTCAGTCCTTCTCAGGCTGCAATCCCTCCTCCTTAATATGACCTCTATGGCACTTCCATTTGGTTGGGATCCGAGCTATCTCTTTCTGTAAAATTCTTGGTCATTCCTGCGCGGACCAGACGTGTGTGGCACGCGAAGATGGGCAGTCCAGCTTTGTCTGCCACTGTACCCTTGCTCACAGCCGACCTTGATATTCGCCTTGTCATTGAGGAAAGGTGCGGTCGGTGCTACGCAAGTCTGCCTCACACCAACTCCTCAAGGCACGCGGTGGACGGAGCGATTCGTGATGGTCGAACGGTCGAGTCAACTACCCCGACTGCAGCATGGATCGTGTGCCTCACGGCTTCGGTCTCGGCAGTATGACTTGACAGTCGAGGTGGCTAGCGGAGGTCTCACTCGACTCCTCCAAGTACCCACAGGAGAAGTGCGCATTGGCTGACGAAAAGACGTACTTATCCGAAAAGTATACCTATCCCAATGAACGTCTTTCCCTCAGTTACACTAGGTTAGCACTTTATCTTTGAACTATGCTCGGAGTACAAGAATGTTTCGGGTATGGATATACATCAAGAAAACGCTCTAGTGATGCATTGCCAGCACAGGGTACGAAGGTCACTATTAAGAAAAAAGTAGGCATGCTTAACACGCAAAAATATGCATAGTTACGATTCTTACAACAACTCTTAGATGGGTAAGAAGGCGTACCTTGGCCTTGGCCTTGATGAAAGTGTGGTTGAGGAGGTCCCGGGCGACGGGCCGTTGGGCGGGATCCTTAATCAAACAGGCCCTTGTAAACTTCCGGAATTTGTGGCCATAGTTGACGTACTGGTTGCTGACCGTTGCCACGACATCGATGTCCGGCGGATCATTCTTCAGGGTAAGCATTAACACCTGAAACAGGAGACAGCGGGTGAACAATCAGACCAACATGTCAAAGATACTTTTGATAGGGGGGGGGCGACCGACAAAGACAGAGGACGCAGCAACGATCACTTATGACAGCTCGAGGTGGGACAATCTTGGCGCGTTCAGGTCTGTGTTCAGTACTAGCGCACGAATCAGTGAGAGCAGCATACGCGCGGGCTGTAAGCGTGGGGGTAATTTAAAGACAATTTGATCGGGAGGTTGGTCAGGGGAATGCAGTTCTGGAACATAATTCCCAGGCTGATGGAAATGAGCAGAAAAAAGCCTCCCGTTTTGGGTCTGCGTAAACACTAGACCTATTAGGCCAAAAATATCTACGTAAATTGCGGGATACGTCATTTCCTCTGTCCTCTGTAGCACAAACAAGGTTAGAATGCACGACAAGACTCTCGAGATAAATACAGGCGGTGACAAAAGACGAAAAAACACCATAAAATACAATCCCTTCCACAATTCTGAATGGCTAGTTTGATGAATAAACCGCGCTAAAAGACGGTATTATCGATTAGCCCAGGGGTACAATAGGAGGACAACTAAGCATGTCCGACTGTGGTGCCAGAAGTCAGAAGATGGTCCGTTTTGAAATGACTGAAAGGCTACAAAGTATACCGACAAAAATACGCTGGTACTGTTCATTGATGACTATCTATGGGGACCCTTGACACGCGTGAGGATGTTTATTCTCGCGAGCGAATCAGTGAAGCATTGCCGGTGGAGTAAAAGTTTCCTTGCCTCCGAAAACAACAGGAAATGTGGGTTTTTTTTCATGATAGGCTTGTATGGAAGCGCTGACGCGCAGACACAGGTCGTGCTCAAAAAGCGCCTTATCACAACCCCTCGAACCAGGATTCGAAACTGCAAAAGTGCACAACTTTCGGGATGCCAGAGACGAATTGAACCCCTCACAGCCGTTTTGTGAACTCACAGAAAATCGGCAAGTCGTGTGGCTGTTATGGGGGAGGGGATATATCGAGTTACAACTGCCTAGTAAAATTACAGGTTATGTCATCGACGTTGATGGACACACAGACACTTGCTACTAACTGTTTATTCAATTGGCAGTCCTCGCCGGCAGAGTTGCGTTAAAAGAAATATTAAACTAAAGCACCAAGTCCCCATTTGCATACAGCAATGGGGGTTTTCGTTTTAAGGCTAGATAACTGAAAATGCATTCTCTTCTTCCATTCGTACTATTTAACGACAACACACACTGTCTACGCCCATAGGCCATTGAAGGGCGCGAAGCTTTCATGACAACTGCTCAGTTAATCGATCATGAAATGTCCGTTTTTCGAGTTTGCTGGGAGCGGTGGTTCTGGGTCTCATTTTCGAGCGCTAGTTAAAGGAAATTAAAAAAAAGTAAGGTATATCGGGTGTCGGGCGAACTAGGTGACTTCTACAACTGTAATAAAGTCTGCTAAGGGGTGAAAAGCACTCAAAAACAAGCTTCAGTAAAATTAAAACAATTCAGTCCGGAGAAGAATAAACACTGCCGCAGAGGACCTGTCTGGTGGGCCAAAAAGCGTCTGGGGCTCAGTGACTTCTAACCTCTCGGGTTAACGCTAGCCCTCCATCTCTAAACTATTCAAGCCCGGCGTGATAACCACGCCCTATTTTCATGACAGGTCTCCGGCTCCTTATCTATATACACTCTTAGTTTTCTGTTTATACGAGGCTTATCTATCAGTTTGGTCATAACAGGTGCTCTGAATATAAATAGCTTCCGGACGGTGTGAGCTCGCACTTCCCCAAATTTGCAAAAACGAGTGATCTAGCGATTGGACACGAGAGTAATCGCCCCACCTTACGACAGGTGGCCTTCCGCAAAATTACAAGGTGTTTACCTCTTCCGCGTCCTAATCCTAGCCACAACGCCCCCCCCCGCCCCTGGAATTTAGCACACGGTTACTTGTAGTAATAAGGGTGTATCTAATTTCCTGTCCAACCGTACTCTAGGGCAATACACATTTTTCTTCGCATTGCCGAAGAAGAAGAAGCTTGATTGGCTGACGCGATAATAGTGTCGTGTTTTGTCGCGATAACAGCCGTCAGGAGAAAGCGCGCTGTCTCCAGGTGTTGGGAGTAGTTTTATTGTCTCCTCGGTCGAAATTTAAATATGAAGCTTGTGTGTCAGTCATAAAAAGAGCCAAATGTCCTTATTCAAATTCCACAAGACAGTTCAGATGTGACTGTTAAAACAACGGCCTGGCAAACCAGCGGCGACCAGTAATCATAAGGAAACTGGAGCGGACGACGAGGTTCGGTAGTATTTAAAAAGGAAGTGGAATGCAACGCTCTGTCTCGGCTAACAAGCAGTTCGCGCAAAAGTACCCTTTCGGTAGCCAATTGCTTGAAGAAGGGGTACTTTTCGGTTTAGCCAAAAAAACTTCTCCAACTTCTCAGTCGTTGTGAACACGAGCTACGAGACATTTATTTGCCGAGTAGGAAAATCATAAATTTTACAACGCTATTGAGGCGACGTTAGGTGTAAAGTGCGCTTGGGTGGCTACGATGGTGAGTCAGCAAACGTCGAATTTGGTGGCTAATAAGGGAGATGGGGGAAAAATAAGACTGTCCTGGCCAGCTCGTTGCAGATGTGTGCGCAGAGCATCTAGAGCAGAAGACCATAGTGTAGTCGGTCATTTCAACTGGTAGGATCAAATTTCAAAACTCTGGGGACTAGAATGAAACGAGATGTGGTGCGACAGGTTGGCACAGTGGTGGGTCCTTTTTCCACACCGGTACACAATTTTCTGTGCTCCACGTTTTTTTTGAAAGCAGGCGCACAGCGAGGTAGCCGAGGAGGAAGTAATTCTCCGTGTTGAAAATTTCGGAAAATTCGAGCATGCAGAAGAACAAACGGCGACTTTTACCTAAACCCCGGGGCGTCAGCTGGAACTCCACATGTTGCTGCCGGAATACTCAACAAATCGCTTACATTCATCAGTCGAGGTAAGCAGCATGCGTACAAATACCAGACGTGTCAGCCCATGAACAAGGGCTCGCATGTTACGTCTTTTTAACGGCATTAGTGCTTTTAAAAGTGCTCTCGAAAGAACGATCGTAGGGCAAGCGATTATCTAAATAGAAGTCACATAAATGAGCATTTGTATCCGCCGGACAGTGGTGACGACGCGTGAAAAGATTGCTGTACTTAAGACTAGCATAGTACTCCGACTGACAATTTGGACGTTAATAAAGACGATGTTCACTGTGTGCTTAGCAGTAGAGTGCAAGCAGGGACGGTGCCTTGCGCGGGAGTGCCATAGTATTCAAAGTACTCTCCCACAAAAGTCCCGACGCGTTTTGGTGGAAACAAGGCGAGAGAGCATTTCCAATGCCGAGTAAAGCGATGGCTGGTCACACGTTTCGCCCATGCCTTCAACGTCACTTTCGTATAGCGTTGACCACCAATTCACTCGGAGACGCATCGAAAACAACGGCGCCATCGTAAAGGCATACTTTTAAGGTTATCGGAAATTGATGCAATTTTTGTGATCTTAGTTGGGATGTTGCTCATTGAGTGCTAATGTCTCCCCGTAAAACGGGCCAGACAGTGTATGCGGTGGACCAACACAAGGGCTGGATGAGAGTCCGAAAGGCGTTATCGTGAATGTGCACCCATAACAAATGCCAATATTAGGAGTATGCTGGCGGACACAGTTGCCGGTCCACTCTGCGCCCTTTGGGATACATGTCGCCGCCTTTTTTTCTTGGTCAGTGTACGTTGTGGACCAGGGATAGTGGTGGTACGCTTAGGTGTGGGTTTACGCCACCTGCATCCTCTCCCGCCTCATGTCTTCTTGACTCTGTCTCGACACCGTACCAGGGTGGGGGAGGAGAGTGTAGTAGATGTCGCACAAGCCACCGTCCCTGTTTTTACCCTGCTGTGAAGCACACAGTGGACATCGTGGGCGACGACGGTTAAACTGTCATGTCTGCTCCAATTGAACTATGTGTGCTTGTAAGTAAGTGAGGCATTGTTTATTCAGATTTTGATATGCCCTTTTTTAAATCGGGTCCTGCAAAACGGGAAACAAAATCCCGAGATATTCTTGAGTTTATCATCGCATGCTGCATGAAGTTCGCAAAGAAAACAATGCGACAGCAGTCACCAAAACAATGCGTGATGTTTTATCCGAATGCTAAAAGGTCTGCAAGCGTCTGCTATGTTAGGATAAGCAAACCATGGCCCTCGCAGCCTGATATGCGCTGGCGGTTCGCCAACACCTAATTCCCTGCTGGAAGACGCACTTGCGCTCCCACTAGGTTGTGAACATGGCTGCTCAGTCATCCTTCTCCTTCTGACCCGTCGGGTTGTTGTTGCTGGTTCAAATCCTGGTTAATTGTTGTGTGGACCAGGGGGTGTGGGGTGGGGCGCCAAGGTGCAGGCGCCATCCACCTGCGCCCTCCCCCGTCCCCGGTCTTCTTGACTTTGCCTTGACACTGGGCGCTCAGGTGAGGGAGAAGAAATCGGATGCGAAAATGGATTTTCCGTGTTAACAATTTGAAACACCAATGTCTTTTCGTGCGCCTGACACCAGTTCCTACGCCGAAATCATGCACATATCCGAAGAAAGTCTTGCTATGTGGTTAGTGCAGTATGATAGGCAAACTTCACTTTTAGCCACTGGAGCGAGGTCGGACTGTAACAGCAAGCATCCGTTGTTAGTCACTAGAACGGTTGAACCAAGCTCTTGCTGTCAAACATTAATCCCCCCCCCCTCAATCAATAGAAAAGAGATGGCATTCGGCACGACAGATCCCGAGTAGGATTAAACATTTTGGGTAGGGATCTTCGCCCCATCCTTCCTTTTCATCTGACTGTGCACCAACTGCCTATCGTTTGGGCAGATCACTGTGGCACTTCCTGGGCTGAAAAACTACTCGATGTCAAAACTGGGTCCACGAAACTCTTTCCATCCAAACAAACTTCCTTTTTTGAAGACAATGTTAAAAAC